GGCTAGGATTACTTAAGTAGTAGCATTCCAACAGATCCATGTTTTCATCTCTTGCGCATTTCCGTCTTGTTTCAGTAGCCCATTTCTCATCAAGGTGCTCTGGTTCCCCAGCAGACGTCTGGCCGGGTGACGTCTGAGCCGGCATGTCATGCTTATTAATGTCTCTCATGGTATGAGGTAGGCCATAGAGCTCCAAATGGTCTTGCCTAAGGTAACCCACCCTGCATTGCTCAATTTTTTTTGTTGTTTGCGCCGGCCTGGATTCGAACCCGGGTGGAAGACCGGTGACTTACCGACCGGCCCCTGCAGAGTCTCATGAGCTCCTTCTTCATTGAGGCCAGGCTCAAAGCCCTCCACCTGAGCTCCCCCTCCGACGTGGTCGGATCCACGGCCGTCCGCCAGATCTCCTTCTTCGCTGCGGCCAAATCCACAGTCTCCCCCTGAGCCCTTAACTCGTTGTTGTTGGGTCCCTGGTCGGCCACCTGAACTTTTGAAACTTTTTCAGTTGTGCCTTTGCCCATCTTTGTGACTCTTTTTTTTGTTGTTTTTTTTCCCATGACTTCCTGTCGGTTTTTGCTTTCATTTTTTCTGTGTCTTTTTGTTTTTGTGTTTCCCTTGTTGTACTTTTTCGTGCCCTCTGTCCTATCTTTGTGTTTAGTACCCCCACGTCCCACCTGTGCTAATTTTTTTCAAATCGTTAGGTGATGATTTGTTAAGGGGAGGGTACTGTGAGAATGTGTGTTTTTGTGGTTCTTTGTTTCTTTCCTCTTTTGTGCCTTCTTTATCTTTACACATTCTGCTCAGTCTGTTACCTCCTCAGTCAATTACTCACACCTGTCAGCATTTCCCAATTAGTGTTTTCAATCAGCTGTAGTTCATCTCTTCATTTCCTCTGTTTGTATATATACCGGTCTTGTACTCCACACCCTCACTGGATCATTGTATGTCTTACCCCTCTGTTTTGGTTTCTCTGTGGTATTTTTCTTAGTGTTATGTTTTATTTTTTTGCTGCATCGTCAGCCTTTTGTTTTGTTAAATATTTTTATTTATAAACTACTCTCCTCCATCCGGATTTGGATTCTTTCCCTCGTCTCACTTTAACAAAATATTTTCTTATGGAAATTTTTTAATTTTCAAATTGTGATATGTGGTCCATTCTTAAATATGTGACAGATACATAAAGTAAAAAAGGTGGACATTTTGAATTAATAAATACTGGAAGGAATACTAACCACCCAGTAAGGGTGTTGTGTTGTAAACAACTGATCAGCTGATGTATAACAGAGGAGGTACATAAACCTGTAAAAACAAATCTACACCCATACAGACACCTGAGAAATGGAAATGAGGTTTGTTTCTATTGGCCTGAGGTTAGCTATGAACCTGATTGAAGTGATCACAGTTGTCCTCAGTGGATGTCTGAATGGTCTCAACCCAAGGATTGAGCCCATAGTGGCTTCAACTAGTGTTGGTCTTAGTACTGAGACTTCATCTATGACATGTATCCTGCAGAGCACTCCTCGCTTACCTGTTTTCTCAAACGATGGTGATTTTCTTATTGGTGGTATTTTTTCGATTCATTACAAACTGCACACAGTGATTTATAACTACACCACCAAGCCTGAACCGTCAAGATGCACTGGCAGGTTAGTAAAAAGGAGCCAGGGGAAAGGATTCTAGATGTGTTTGAATGGAAATTATGTTTTTATAATTTTATAAATAATATATATGAATGAAAATTATCTATTTGCAACAAAAATTACAGTATGCTGATATTGAAAACAAAATTGTTTTTCTCTGTAACCATACTCAGCATATTCAATCTTCATATGCTGAGTTGAAAATTAATGTGTATTTATTTCTATATAAATTAATTCATTTTAAGCATTTTTACATAACAGTTATTATTTTATCAAACTTCAGATCAATGCAATTAGTTTTTTGCATTTCCCATACAATTGTTTTTAATTGTTATTACTGAATTTTTTTAAAATAGTTTAATTGTTCACACCAATTTAATTCATTTTGTGCACTGCAGCATTGATGCTCGGGAMCTGCGTTTTGCTCGTGCCATGATTTTTGCCATTGAGCAGATAAACAACAGCACAGAGCTGCTGCCGGGGATAAAACTTGGATATCAGATCCATGACTCCTGTGCTTCAGTGCCTGTGTCTGTGCATGTGGCATTTCAACTGTCAAATGGACAAAACCCTGTGTTTTACAAAGGAACCACTTGTACTCAGTCTGGAGTGGTCTTAGCTGTTGTTGGTGAGTCTGGATCCTCACCATCCATCAGCATGTCACGCATCATTGGACCCTTCAACATCCCACTAGTAAGAACAAAGTCTGCTTTTATTTCTGAGAGAACATCTAAGATTTACTGCTGATTTTTAAATGCTATTTTAATATTACCAAAATCATATCTTATTACTTTATTGTTTTTTTTTTTCTAGGTGAGCCACTTTGCCACCTGTGCCTGTCTGTCAGATAAGCAGCAGTTTCCAACATTTTTCAGAACAATTCCCAGTGATCAGTTCCAAGCTGATGCTCTGGCCAAGCTGGTGAAACACTTTGGCTGGACTTGGATCGGAGCTGTTCGTTCAGACTCAGATTATGGAAATTATGGCATGGCATCTTTTCTTAATGTAGCACAGAAAGAGGGGATCTGTGTGGAGTACTCTGAATCCTTTTATCGGACCGACCCACGCAGCAAGATCCAGAGAGTGGCTGATGTTATCCGCAGGTTTTTAAGTTACTAATTTTTATTGTGTGTCTTGTATTGCAATAACACAAATGGAAATAAACTACAGAACTGTTTAGAACATATAATATCAAAGTGCTTTAAATTAGATTAATTTATTTTCTTAGCTAGTATATTTGTATATTTTTGTAAAGGCTTTAAAACAGGTAATCCAAGTATATTCCTAGCAGTCATTATTTATGAATCTCTATGCTTTTAATGATKCCATACGCATTAATAAAACATATTATAGTTTAATTTTTCACATTTTACCTTCTCTCCAGATCAACTGCAATTGTCGTTGTGGCTTTTTTGTCCTTTGGAGAAATGAAGGTTCTGTTAGAGGAGCTGGCCCGGGAGCCTCCACCACCCCGTCAGTGGATTGGAAGTGAGTCCTGGGTAACTGACCCACTGCTGATGGGCTTTAGTTTCTGTGCRGGAGCCATTGGAGTGGGTATTCAGCAGTCTGTCATACCAAGTCTGAGAGACTTCCTGCTGGATCTCTCCGCAACTCAAGTAGCTGCCTCTACTTTGCTAACTGATTTTTGGGAGGATGCATTCAACTGCAGCCTAAGAAAAAGTGAGCATTTGATGAAAATAAATTATAATAGCAAAAATAAATAAATAAATAAAACATTCACAAAATATGTTTCTGCCTTTTTATTTAGTTGATAGGGGAAACATCAGTTCATGTTTTCTAATCATGTAAAAAATCTACCTTTTGTCTAATTGTTTCTAAAATACTGTAGAATCTATTTTTATAACCTGAAGCCAAAACCATTATTTCTTAGATTTTATTAAAATTTTTATTTGAAAAATCTGATTTTTTGATTGTTATTATCTGTCTTTTTAGGTGCAGATTTAGACAAAAATATATGTGATGGAAATGAAGATATAAAAACACTTAAAAACCCGTACACTGACACATCTCAATTAAGGGTTACTAACATGGTGTACAAGGCTGTTTACGCAATAGCTCATGCCATTCACAGTTTATTGTGTCAAGAAATACATAAAACCACACAGTGTAATAAACATGTCAACCTGGAGTCTAAACAGGTATTTTTTAAAAAGTTCATAGCTCATTTTATTTCTTATAAAATCAGTATGTGAACTTATGGTTAATACCTTCCCCTCTTCTTTMTTTTCATACTCCATAGGTTTTTTATAAATTAAAACATGTGTCCTTTCTTCAAAACGGTTATCCTGTATTATTTGATGCTAATGGAGATCCTGTGGCTTTTTATGAGCTGGTCAACTGGCAGAAGAGTGAAAGTGGAGTTATTGAGCTGGTAACAGTTGGATACTATGATGCATCATTGCCAAAAGGCCAGGAGTTACAAATAAACACAAACATAACCTGGGTGGAGGGTGACAAAAAGGTAATGAGCCAAATCAAAATTATTTTGCATTTTTTTTTAATTTTAAAAGAATTTTGTTTCATTGCATTTCACTGGGTGGTTCTAGGTTCCAGTGTCAGTGTGCTCTGAGAGTTGTCCTCCAGGAACACGTAAAGTGTTGCAGAAAGGAAAACCCATCTGCTGCTATGATTGTATACCATGTCCTGAAGGAGAGATCAGTAATACAACAGGTGACATAAACTATTTCTCATTTAGTTCTGTTTCAGTACATATTTGAGTGCTGAAAAGCATATTTGAAATTTTCTTTTTAGATTCTCCAGATTGCTTCCCATGTCCCAGTGAATTTTGGCCAAATACAGAAAAATATGCTTGTTTTCCCAAACCTGTTGAGTTTCTGTCTTTTGATGAAGTCCTGGCAATCATCCTGGCTGCATTATCTGTTATTGGAGCCTGTCTGTCCATCATAACAGCAGCTATTTTCTTTTATCACAGAACA